ATCCAAAATCGAGGATGTAGTTATCTTTGAGTCAGCGATATTTCCGCTTTCCATACCAAGAGGTGCGATGCAGTCTACGAGATGCAAATCAAGAATCAGGAAGAAAAATGTAATTTCCTTTGAGGGAATGGTTAGATCTAAATTAAATAGCTACCGATAATAGACACTAACTGGTCGAATTTAATTTTTTTCAACCTAGAAGACTCGTACTGCTATGGCCTTTTCAGGTAAAACCAAACACTAGTTCGTGGATGGAAACGATGATGCGGTTGACTTGATTCATCTAAAGCTACATCTTTTTCATTGATTAATTGAATTAAGATGAAGACCTTTACCACAAGCCGCTGCTAAGATTTCTGTAACCCGTTTTTCAAAATGTCCTTAGTCAGGTTATTGAAGGAAAAACTTTTCAACCACGAAAGGCAAAAGTCGTTCGAAAGGATCGACTCTACCTGGGCATCCGTAAATCTCAATTCTCATTGATATGTGTTTATGCCACTCTAGCGGCAATAATCGGACGAAACGTGTTCTGATTGGCTCGCTCAGTCTTTTGACTACAACTGTGGAACTGTCGTCATTTCCATCGAAAACCTTCAAAAGAAAGTTTAAACAAAGAATGTAATTAACAGTCAGTTTGCTTTCTTTCCTCACAATTACCGAGAAACTTACTTACCCACCTAACCACCCATCGAGCCACCTGCTCCCCCAACCAGTCATTTACACCACACAAATTGCCTAAACTGGGCTGAACGTTTCTCGTTCATATCCATAGGCATCATATTGATCATACAATTACGGTGTACGATAAACATTTATTACTGTCATTCAGAATTCATAGTTAGAATACAGCGCTAAGGGCATACCTCTGCAGAACTGTGTTCTGCTTTCTTGTAAAATTGGAAATTTATTCCAGAATAGCTAAATTGTATTCTGTATTTTGTCACCCACTCGTCGAGTCCATCTATCCCCTGTGTTGCTACACGCGTCACAATTACTTTACTTCCAAGGTCCACTTGAAACCATTGATAAAGGTCGTTCTTGCGAGCAGACCACCCCCCATTTTTACTATCAGTGACTGTTTGACTGTGCAACCTGGCATGTGCTGGAGCACGATCATCATTCAGTTGTGAGGAGGCAGATATTTGCGCATCAGAGATGAATTTACTTTCCATGCCGAGGGGGGATACACAGCCTGAGTATGTCGAAAGAAACATATCGCAGATATAGCCACAAAAAGGCTGAAAACCTTTTACTAATGATCTTGTAATGCGTACAATTAAGTGTTAACATCTGGAATCGCTTTTAACCTGCTATACCACCCACTTGACCGATCAAATTCAAAAGTTGAGGCCATACCATACAGGAACTTTTTCGCACCAACAAACTTTGAAAAGCTAGATGGTTAAATTATACTTATCAACGTTACGATGACAACAGGTCACGAATTTTTCCTCGAATTTTTTCGCGCCAGGGGCTGGTTTTGTGACTTTACTTCTATCGTTTAACAGGTAATTAATAACGCTTTCGTGATTTGCAAATGTGTTTTTTGCTAGTACAGCTATGTGTACGACAAATGAAAACAAATAATAATAATAATAATCAAGATAATAATGATTTTAATAACTATAGCGGTAGAGATAATAACGGTGATCAGACTGATGATACTAACTTTAACCTTAATTGTTAATAATGAGAAAAAATGACAGTGATAAGAATAAAGGTAATAAACATTACAAACAATAGAAAATATGAAGAGAAATGGACTTACCTGGACAGCCATAAATCTCAACCCTCATGGATATGTGTCGGTACCAACTCACCGGTCTAATTCGTATGTAGCGTGCTCTGATTGGTTCGCGTATTTCGTGATAAACGACGGTCTCTCTGTCACTATTTCCACGAAAGACCTATGTAAATTATCAAGACAAGTGGAAAATTAGCTTTCGATCAGAGCATCGATAAAGGTTTCATACACTCCCGAACAATAAAGCTTCTGGGAAGTTTCCCATTTGGGGTTATATTGTCACATTGTCTTTTATAATTCTAAGATTTTATGTTCACTCCAGATCACTAATAGATAGAAAAAATAAAACTACTTAGGTATACCTTTTCAGTTTCGAGTGGCTTCTCCTTATAAAACTGAAAAGTTACTCCATCGTCACTATACTGCAACTTATATGCTGTCACATATTCGTCATAGCGTTGTCTGCCTTGGGTCGCTATACCAGTCACTGTCGTGTATTGACCAAGATCCACTTGAAACCACTGGTTTAAATCATTTGCACGCGATGACCAACTTCCGGAGGTTCCCGGAAGTTTCTTATAATGTAACCTTCCTTGCCTGGCCCCATGATTGCCATCCCACTGTGAAGAAGCACTTATCTGTGCATCGGTGATTGCCCCGCTATCCATGCCAAGTGGTGCTGCACAACCTGTTTGTATTGAAACAGGACAAGAAAGTGAAAGGTGTATCTCTTTTCCAACAGTTAAAATCTTCGTTTCAGCGGAGCATGATACGTTTGTTCTCTAACCTTAAATTTTCAAAAATTAATAAATCGGAACATTCCTCATCCGGCTCCCACGATGTTTTTTTTTAATTGTCAAAGAGTTATATTGATAGTTTGGTAGATTTTTAAGGTTTCAGTTGCTTTTAAGGCTTTATTAAATCGTTTCTACCGCGTCAACTGTGTCTGGCTATTGCCAGTACGAATTGTACCTGGGCATCCGTAGATCTCCATTCTCATCGATATCCGGTCGTTCCAGGCTAGCGGTTTCAGTCGAATGTAACGAGTGGTTATTGGTGGGCTCAATATGTTATAAACAACAGTATTTTGGTCTTGATTCCCATCGAACTCCTAAACAATAGACAAAGGAATAATCATGTTTCATTTCGTTTGATGACGTATTCCAAACTTTTGTCCCAGTGTAAACAAAACTGTTCCGCTAGTAGTCTGTTAACAACTGGTAAAGCTAGATTCCTGCTGAAGGTTCTTAGATTACACACTGACTTCCCAATACTATTCATAACTTTTGCCATCATAAGAAGCCGAGTCTACTCAGTGATTCGTTAGGAGGTAACCGACAGTAGTAGGTGATTACACGGGCTGCAAGTCTTTATAACGTTTAGAGTTTTTCGGTGAAGCGGCCACTGATGTTATCCCATACAGTGCCACATTAATCAAAGTAAGGTTCATCAATTGACTGAGACAGGTCAGAATTTGGAACAAAAAGCTTAGTGGATGAATAAATGAATAGATGGAAGAATGACTGGATTGGAAGATAAATGGATTGAGCGACTGCATGGATAAATGGGTGGATGAATAAAAGGATGAATGGATGGATTTATGGACGGATGAAGGGTAGAAGAGAGGGAGGGAAAGAGAAATGGATGGATGGATAGATAGATGAACTTCTTTTTTCGACCATGTTTCTTTTTCTCTTTTCTTTCTCTTGTGTCAGCTTTACACTCTTTCATGAAGCAGCAGCGAACGTTATCTGCACGATATCTGTTGACAAAAGTCTGTAATTTGGCAGAGACAATGAAAGCTTAGGATATCTGGTACCTTTGCAGAGCTGGATGTAGCTTCTTTGTAGAGGTGGAAGGTTATTCCATCATCACTATATTGTAACATATATCTGGTCACCCACTGATCGTAGCCATTCATCCCCTGAGTCGCCAAACGCGTCACTTTTGTGTAACTACCAAAATCCACTTGAAGCCATTGGTCACGATCATTTGTGAGAGCTGACCAACCCCCAACTTTGTAACCATCCGCTTGGAAATGTAACCTGGCCTGTGATGCAGAGTGATTACCATCCAGTTGTGATGATGCAATTATCTGAGTATCAGATATCGATCCAAATGCCATTCCGAGAGGATTTATGCAACCTTAGTTTGACAAAAAAAGAATGGTGGCAGTTTATAACAGATGCCATTATTTGATTGATAATGGCTACCTACTCCTGTCAGAAAGCGTCATTCACCAAATGCAAAGCACCCCAGATAGCCTTTCCAAAAATGATTAACATGGGGGACAAGATATGCAATTTGTTATTTGTACAGCAGCTCAAAAAGAAAGTCAAACGTTGGTATCAAATAAGTCTCCATAGAAGTATGTAAGATTATTCTAGATACCTGGACAGCCATAGATCTCAGTTCTCATTGATATTCGATTGTGCCACTCAGCGGGTTTGAATCGAATGTAACGCGTTATAATTGGTGGAGTCAGTGTGTTGTACACGACAGTGTCACTGTCCGTATTTCCATTGAAAACCTTGATAGAAAAACGCAAAATACCTTAGATGATTACTCAAATTTTTTGGAATTGATTTTTCTTAGCGCCTAAGTACAAAATGCCGCAGTTCTAGTTTCTTACAGTTCGTTTCAGATTAGCAACATTCTGATTGGGGTTGTCTACCATCGATTGGATGCACGTCGATCTCCAAGACTACAAATATTTTAGCCAGTCTAATCCACATCTTTCCAGAACTGAACGCGCAAAGGATGAGCTCTAAAATTTTTGATTGGTAAAACTTCGACAAATAAAATTGATGTGAGATTTCTATTCTCAAAAAGCGTAAGTTAAAAGGAAACAAAATTTAGTGGCTATCGTGGCTTTTAGTGGTTACCGAAAATTTTATTTATTGTCGCTGGATTCCTATAAAGTTGACAGGGGAATATTGAAATAGACTGGAAAGGCTTTACTTATTGGGATGGAACTAAATTTGTTTTGTAAATTTTTACTGCCTATTGCTTTGGTGTCGACATTTTATAACTGAAATCTGGGAAAACTGCTTCACGATACAAACCTGCGCAGCAAAATGTCCTGGATCCTCAAAGAAATGAAAGATGTCCTCATTTTCACCATATTGCAGTCTGAACTTAGTCACCCACTCGTCATGCCCATTCCTCCCCTGCGTAGCAATGCCTGTCACCCGTATGTAACTACCAAGATCCACCTGAAGCCATTGGTCTACGTCATTTTTAAGCGCTGACCAGCTTCCTCCGTTTTCTCTATTTGCCTTTGAATGTAACCTGGAATGCTTTGCAGAGTGATTTTCATCCAGCTGCGTTGACGACTTGATTTGAGAATCCGAAATTTTGCGATTTTCCATGCCATACGGGGACGTACAGCCTAGATTAAAAACGGAAACGATGCTTTTAGGAGATAGTCTTTCGACTAAAGGTACAAGGATTGACTGGGGCTGGGTTTAATTCTTTCTGTAACAATACAAGCTCTGAATCGGGAGTATGATTATAGACAGAAACGTCTGTAACCCATTCTTAAAAACTGTAACAACATTTCAGGAACTAAATAATCATCGGTTAAACGTATTTATGAGTAAAAACATAGCAATAGATTTTTTCCATGAGAAAGTGGCCCAAGCGTCGATACGGTAGCTAAACTAAAATTAAATTAAAAAACTAAACTAAACTAAAATTTTATCTCTTTGCGGATGATACTAATATACTTTATGCTGATAA